TTTTGGTGTATAGAGAAAATCTCACCGTTTAAGAACTAAAGAAACAATGGAACCCATTATTTTTTTAACCGCATTGCATCCTAGATTTGATGAAATAAAATGAATTGAGATGGTATTTTGTAAATATCTAATTATCTTCAACATATTATTAATAATTTTTTATTTTGCGGTTACCTAGAAGGAACAAAAGAAACATCTGTTGTTTCTTCAACAATTTCTGAGAATGACTTTTGATTCCACAACCCTTCAGATCAAACAAATTCACTATCTTAATTAAAAATTACATCAAATAAATACACTGTATGTACGAACAAGAAATAATCTTCTCATATAATCCTGTTGATCAAGTCCGCGCTCCGCCAAACACCGTCGCTTTACTTCCTGAAAACACAAACGTGAGTTAGCCGGCGGGTGTGTGCCGGATACCTCTTCAATGCCTAAGTCAGAAAAATAGACAAATAGACAAAAGCTCTATGAATTCGGGAATCAAAGTTCTGTTACCTCTCCATAGGTGATGTTGTGAGCTTTTATAGGTTCCGTGTGGCACAATCCAAGTAGGACTCTTACTCCTCCATATAGAGTCCTCCTAGGAATCACCTTCTTGAAAGATAATGCTTATCCTTCAACACCCCCCTCACTGCTTAAACCAAGTGAGATGGTTCTACCACGGTTGGATGTCAATACGACCGAGATAACATGGCCATGCTAAAGCCACAGGCTAGACCGAGCTCCCACTAGCTCGGTCCTTCCTCTCACTGAGTGTACCTCGATTTAACATATTCCAACTGGGTTGTTTAAGACTGCACTAACCACAACGAGCTTGGACCGAGCTAACCAATAGCAAGGTTCTGAGGAAAGCTCAACATACTTCGGCCTAAGATTGTTTGACAGAGCTAACTGTCACCACGCCGACCGTGGTGACTGAGCTAACCACCAAGCTCTTTCGGACCGGGATATCTGCAAGGCTCCTCTGGACCGGACTAATTATAAGGCCCTTTTACTGTGGCCCACAGAATGACCCATTACCCAGCTCAGCCCAATTTACATATAAATTACCCTCTCACTGTAGAATACATGATCTTGGAGAATAATGCCAATGGCAAGAAGAACATAATAATTTGAGTTGTTAAATCTGCTATTTGTTTTGAATCTACTCCTTATAAAACTAAAAAACGAAAATATAATGTGGACATTTTTGTGGGATCCAGCACACGACATGACTTCTTTTTTTAAGTTGTAGCTAATTGTTGAAGTTTTTTTGCAGAATATTGCAAGTAATGTTGACCAATTTACTTATTACAAATTCATGGTTGTTGGTACATAATTTGCATCCCTATTTATCTCTTTCACGCATCATTTTAAATATTAAGATTAACATCAAAAAATAAATAAAAAAATTCCTACTTACAGTTAATGATTAACTATGTTCAATTCTCTTATTATAAATTAATGGTTAGTTCACATGTGGCGAGAATTTTCAAGGCAACAATGACCTTTCCTCCTTGAAAATCCTAAGTGATTCACGATTTGATCAAGATTTAATTACTCCAATTCCCAATCATTTAAAATACACAATCTAAATCATCAAGCACTTACGAAAGTGATTTAGATTGTTGTTTTCGAAAAATAATAAATCAACACAAACGATTTTTATGTGGAAAAACCACAATTGAAGTACCTTCAATTGTAATAAAAAAACCACGGGCAAAACGCCACTAATCAATCCACTACTGAAGAAAGAAAGATTACAAAGATAACAAACAAATTATCCAAACGCTACCAATTTGTCTTCAAATCTTCTGTATATCTTTCACTGTAACCTTTGTCTTGGAATTGATTAGACTGAAGTTGAATCCACAACTTCTATTGTTGAATCAATGACTACGCACAGTATCAAACTCCTTTGAAACTCCACGCTTGAATCTACGGATTCCACCGAAGAAGAAAACTCTTGAATATAATCAATCAACCTCCTTGATATGTGCTCATCAATACATGAGTTTAATATTCGCTCAAATCATCAAGGAAAACTCACAAAAAACTCTAAAAGAAAACCTTAGAAAATCTTAAAGTAGATCTCAAAATGTAATCCTAGTTTTGGACTAAAACTAGTGCTTATAGAAAACTGGGACAGCGAAGCTCGCTCGAGCGAAGACTCTCTCGCTCGAGTGAGGAACTAATCTCACGTGTTTTTCTTAAGTGGCTTCGCTTGAGCCACACTTCCTGGGCTTGAGCGTACATTTATCATTCCCAGCTTTTTTTACAGACGCAGCCTTCGCTCGAGCGAGGACTCCTTCGCTCGAGCGAGCAAGACAAAACAGAAAGGAAAATTACAACTCAATGACTTAAGTTTCTTCGTGGGATTGACAAGACTAAGGGACCTAACAATCTCTCCATTTGTCAATTCCCGGACAAAACTTTTTAACACAATTTCCTAGAAAACAAATGTACTAACTAAACAAACCAACTCAATGAAAAACAAAACAACTATCAAAACAATTCTTGATGGAAATCTGCAAAACAGAAAATAAAGAGAATTGTAATTCAATAGAAGAAACCATGAAGACATAATAAACTAAAAGCCCAAAAGAATTGATATTCAATTAGAATTAAGTCCAATCACCAGTCTGCAAAAAATCACAATTAGTATGAAAAAAACTCAATTATCAACATCTATAGATCCCAATATGTCATATATCCCATACAAGAACTAGTCCAATACGGCCTGTAAAATCCATCATGAGTATGCAAAAAATCAACATATATCCCACATATACCCCTAAAAAATGACCCGAACCAAATACTCCCCCTTTTTGTCTAGGAGAGACAAAAGAAACAATTATATACAAGCCAGAACAAAAACTATCCAAGAAAATAACAAAATCTGCCCAAAAACCACAGTCCAAATACTGTCAAAAACTAGGAGTCTGATGGAGGTGGCTGCTGCACCTGGAGCAAGGAAAGAATCTGGGCTAGCATCGTGCTCTGCTTATCAAGTCGACCATCAAGAGTATCCATCCGAGCGTCCAATTGATCAAGTCAATGCGTGACTGACTGCTCAAACCACTGCAGCTGGCCACGAAATGAACGCGGACACATCTCATGCATCTCAGGTGCATCAGTAGGAGCTTTATCAAACTCCGCCTCCTCAGTAAGGGGATCATCACATGTATCAGACACTCCAGACACCCCAACTCCCGACACCCCCCCCCGGACATGAGCTTGACTCTGTGAGACTGTCAACTTAGTAACAGGTTTAACAGGAGAAGCAAACTTATCATCATCATAGGTAGGAGCTCCAAGAGAAGTAAGAAAGCGAGTGAGAAAACACCCATAAGGAAGACCTAAGGACTTACGTCCATCAAAAACAGAAATCATTTTGGAGACAATCATCGCGGGTAGGTCAATGGGAAGACGGTGGTCACTACAATATAACACATACCCCTGATGTTAGGTAATGTGAGAGGAATGAGTGGTCACATGAATATTGGCACAGATAATGATATTAAGAAGTCAAAATCCAAAAAGAAGCTCATTTTGTTGAATGTGCGCCCCGACAATCCAAGTCCGGGAGGTACCACAAAGTTCAGTGGCAACCCGATCAAAATCAACACCACTGCGAGTGAGTAAAGGAAAATAAAAATTCGGGACTTCCGAAAGACCAAGAAACAACCGAAAAACATTAGCAGTGATGACTAAGGATTTCTTCCTAACCCAGGTGCTAAAGGGGGGTGGAATTTTGCTTGTGGAGAGAATGCATATTGTAATAAAATTCACGGACTAAACTGAGATTTTAAGGCCCTAAAAAAACCAAAACTTGATCACCCCCTAAAGAATCAAACAACGAACGGATGTGAAACAATTCAAAGGCATTGGGAAGAACATTCCTTTCAAGGTGGACTTTCCTAGATGCATAGAACTCTCTAAATAGTTTGGATTTTTCTTTGGATTCAAATTTTTATGTATTGAATTTTGGGCGGGACATAGTGGTTTTACGACGTTTTGACAGCTCACCCATGACTAAACAACAAGAGGACAGAAAATCCATAGAAACACCCACCAAACCATACCACATTGGACCAAAAAAAAACATTAGAACCCCCAAAACCAAACAACAGAGCACAACAAAACATTAGTAATCCAACAGTGTTAGAAAAATATCAAAATCACAGAACCATAGCATAATATCAATGACAGGAAGAACAGAGCTAGGTTCAATTCCAACAAATGCAAATGTAGGACAATCAACATCAATACATACCACTTTGACCACATGAATTAGCATATGACACACAGGACAATATAAAGAAAATAAAGCACTAATTTTTACACTGGCTCTAAAACCTAGCAAAAACGTACCAAACTCACCAAACCAACGTGCAATTGAGAGATAAGAGAACATAATGGAAGAAATAAAACCAACAACTTAGAACCCTAGAAGTATCGACACAGCAGAGCAGACAACACAAAAAAAAAAAAACAGAGGACGAGAAAGAAAATAAAGGAAAAGAAAAGAAAAACTTACCAAAAAATGACAATGCTAGATGGATGAAGGAGTGATGCCCTAAAAAACATGAGTTAAAACCAAAGAAGATACCAGCAATAGGGGCAAAGAAAACCCTAGGTGAGAGAGAGAGAGAACACGAAGTAGGAGGGAAAAAATGAAGTGAAAGACGCTGCATCAGAATTTAAACCTCGACCGGTCGCTCGAGCGAAGACTCTTATTTGCAAGAGGTCAATAAAAATGCCCAGGCAGTCGCTCGAGCTAAGAAAGGGTCGGTCGAGCCAAAAAAGCATGTTCTCAGGTCTAATGCAGTGGCAAAAGCACGCTCGAGCGAGGCAATTGTTGCTCGAGCCAAGAGAGAAAAAAACAAGCCAAATTTTTTTTTTTTTTTTTGAAAACAACACTATACTCAAAATCAAGAGGTGAGACCTGAAACAAAAAATAAATGATCATACCTATTTGACTTGGTTAATTTAACAATTTTTCTTTTCCTTGAAATCTTGCAGTTATAGCTCTTATTGCTAGATTTATCATCACTCCACTAGTTGTTATTGTGTTCCTCATCCATAAGTATAGAAAAGAAAGAAAGCCAGTAGATAGAGTGGAAAATTTTCTACGGAATCAGCAATCTTTGATGCCCAAAAGGTACTCTTACAATGATCTAATGGCAATGACAAACCATTTCAAGGATCAATTGGGGAAAGGCGGTTTTGGATCCGTTTACAAAGGGCATCTCCCAGGAGGCTTCTTGATTGCTGTCAAAATGCTCGAAAACACCAAATTTAGTGCACAAGAATTCATCAACGAGGTCTCAACAATCGGTAGGATTCACCATGTCAATGTGGTACAATTATTGGGATTTTGCTCAGAGGGGTCATATCGCGGTCTTGTATATGAATACATGCCTAATGGTTCACTTGACAAACACATCTTCTCGAAGGAAGGAAAGACTCAGTCGTTTACTTGGGAGAAACTCCTCGAAATCGCTCTAGGAACTGCTCGAGGTATTGAGTATCTACACTGCGGATGTGATGTATGCATTCTTCATTTCGACATTAAGCCTCACAATGTTCTTTTAGACCAAAATTTCGTCCCAAAAGTAGCGGATTTTGGGCTTGCGAAATTTTACCCAAAGGAGTATAATCCTATGTCCATGAGTACCACAAGAGGAACAATAGGGTACATAGCACCTGAGTTGATTTCAAGGAATTTTGGAGCAGTCTCGAGTAAATCAGATGTATACAGCTTTGGCATGTTGTTGTTGAAAATGGCTGGAGGAAGAAAGAATGTTGATGCAAAGGCAAAAAGCTCAAGCGAAGTTTACTTTCCGTCATGGGTTTATGATCATCTAACCGTAGGAGGAGGGGATTTAGAGCTTGTGAATGTGAGTGAGATTGAAATAGAGATTGCGAAAAAGTTATGTATAGTTGGGCTATGGTGCATTCAAGTGAAGGCATCAGACCGTCCATCAATGATCAGAGTGGTGGAGATGTTAGAAGGAAGCATTGATGATTTGCAAATGCCTCCAAAGCCTTTATGGTCTTCACCTCAACGTTTGTCGGTACAAGAGACCCAATCAAACGCTTCAACAGATTGGCAGACATCCGAGTCCATGGAGGAATGCTTGTATGGTGACAATAATAATGTTTATTCACACCAATATATTGTTTAATGGCAACAAATGATTGTAGTTTTCTTTCTTCTTCTGGGTTGGGGAGGCACAGTTGAACTACACATAGAAACCGGTTTGTGTTCTCTGTCCGACTCTATAACTGGTTTCTATATTTCTAGCATTATTGCTTTCGACAACAATAAAATGCAATCAAAATGTCCTTTTTTTCTTGGGAATGTTTTTTTTTGTGGTTGAGCTCAAATTTATGCTCACATTTGTCAAGTTATTATGCCCCATATAAATTGCCTTGTCATATTGTTGTATTTTTATGCTGGTGTAAAGAGTTTCAATTTGAGGAATATCTGAACCTGTTTATTGCTATGTGAATGGTTCTATCAATCCCAAACAAGTCACTTATCATGGTTGAATTAAGCATGGAACTAAGAAACTATTTGAAAGTTGTCATTAACACATTATTCTGATGAAATTTTTTGTAAAAAAATTCCGTTTACAAAACCATTTTCCTTAACAAAATCCTCTCAGTCCATTAGAATTGGCTCCATTTCCTAATACTCATTAATTCAGTGGTAATGCTGACAAGCAAACCAAACACATCACAAAAACACAAAAAATAAATTAAATTAAATAATAAATAAATAAATAAATAATGAATGCATGAGAGCTAGAATCATTAAGTAAAATGAGAAATATCAAAGAAATGTTAACAAGTACATAGAAAGCCTGCAACTTTTATAAAAGATTCATGAAAATGCAATAGTAGTTTCTTAAGTAATGTTTAAAATCTTAAATTAGTGAAAGAAAATACAAAGAGAAACATAAGCAAGTAATTTTTTTTCCTTTCTTTTTTTAGTTTAAAAATTAAGAAAAATGAATGAACATTTGTAATAAAAAACAATAACATTTGTAGTTTAGTTATTCATTGAAAATAATATAAATTAGTAATTTTATTTTCATTTCTCTTAACAAATTTAAAATTTAAATACATCATTAATATTATCAAATTGAACTTTCTTGCAGCAGTCAACTTCATTTGTTCATAGTCTCAAATTTATCCAATACTCCTCAAAATAATTTATTCATACAAGTTTAAAAGCATATTTACTAAACATGTTTTACTTTTAGTCACCTTTTTTCAAATGGACAATAATTTAATCTTATTCTTAAAAGCGTTTTTAATCTTATCCTTTAATATTTTATTCAGCCAAAAGGCATAGAAAGTGTGTTCAGCAAAAACACCTCAAAAACTTGACTACTACCATTTCACATAGTATTGGAATAATGTTTAAAAGTCACCTAGTAATTTAATTAAGTTATAAAACAAACGTAAAATTATAAATGCCTGCAAAACAAGCCCAGCCGAGCCTCTAATTCGAGCTTGCAATATGAATGATGAACTAATTTCGAACTCATCAAATCAAACAAGCTTTCTTGTTACAAACTCTGAGCCGAGCTCGAGCTGCAATTACAAAAAAGGCACACCCTCAAATTTCTTATAAAGCTCAAGGACAAAAGTGTTCAAACGACATACTAGAAATATTTGTAGCTAATCTTATAAAATAAACCAAAAAAGTAAAATGTTTGATCAATATAGATATAAATAGAAGAAAGTAGTCAGAAATTAAAAGGTGGAGATTTGTTGAATATTGGCTACAGATTCTGGCCATGTGATGGAAAGTGGCAGCCAGCTACATGGTGGGGAAGCCATGAGGCCATGTGAGTTGGCCATGAGGCCATGTGAGTTGGCCATGAGGCCATGAGAAGCTCACTATTTGACTTCCCATCAAAGCCACCGAAAGCACAACAATGGGCTGGCAGCCAGCTCATTTCAAAGGGTTCCTCTTGCATTTGTAATCTCTATATATAGAGAAGCTAAGGAGAGTTGAGATGTACAGCTGAGATAACAGAGAGGTGTGAGCTTAGAGAGCAAAGAGAGAGAGAGAGAATTACAGAGAGTGTTGTAATTCTTACCATTTTGTTCAATATAGTGAATCCGCTGCCCGTGGACGTAGGCGACTTGCCGAACCACGTTAAATCTTGTGTGTTATTGCTTGTTTGAGTTCCCTGGTGTGCCCCCGATCCTAAACACTAATAATACGTATAATCTGGCTGATTTTTTAAAGTCGGGTGTTGATTTTTTGGAACGTATATGCGGATGGATTGAACTTGATGAAAGTGTATCATTGGAGGATCCATTTCTCAGTTTGGTACGACTACTATTGAGTGTTTTGGAAGTTATAAATGGATGGATTGTTAGAGTGGGACGAAGTATGAAATCCGCAATTTACAAACGCCAACTCATACTAAATTTACTATTATTGGCAATCTGCATGATCCCAGTTGCAATCAAGATTTTTTTATCACCATCGCGTCCACTTTTGGACTTAGCCTTCCAAATAGCGGAGTCCTTGATAATGAAGTTGTATTCCTCATTGCGTTGTTCATCATGATTTCTTTACTTCTCAGATCAAGTATTCTCTTTCTGTTCTGTTTGATGACTATCTGTGTTAGCTCCAGCCCACATAGAAGAGTCATTAAAGGGTGGCTCTCCAAGTCAAGAAGTAGGAGAAAATATGGCAAGTGGCAGCTAACTCAATAACTCTTCTTTCTTGACTTGGTTTCCCTCTCGCTGTGTGTATATAGATCCTAAGAGGAAGAGAAGAAAAATAAGAGAACACAGAGTGTGTGTTTATATAACCAGGGTGAGAGAGAATGCTATAGAGAGAGAGGGGTGTGAGTGTTGTAAACTCCCTCCGAGATAATTCTATAGTGAATATCTCTTTCCGTGGACGTAGGCAATTGCCAAATCTCGTGTTGTTGTTTATGAACGTAGGCAATTGCCAAATCTCGTGTTGTTGTTTATGATTGCTTATTCATGTGCCAAAAACAGGTTACCTAATCCTAACAATCTAGAGGTGAGCATGGTCCGGATTGGATCGAATTGGAGTAAAACCAGGACCAATCCGTTATTTACGGTTCCTGAAAAATTGGAACCAATCCAATCCGTTTAAATCATGGAACCAATCCGAACCAATCCATTTAAATACGGATTGGATCGGTTTAGGACCACGGATTCACATAATTAAATAACAAAAAAATATATATAACACTTTAATTTCATAAAAATATAAACATAGCGCTATATTAGTTAGGGCTGGGCAACAAACCCACCCGCCCGCACAAACCGCCCGACCCTACCCTACCCGCAGTGCTTTGGGCGGTTTCGATGTAGGTAGGCGGGCGGGTGCGGGTCAATAAATTCGCAGAAGATCGGGTTCGGGTCGAACCCGACCCGCCCGCAACCCGCATCTTTTTTTTTTTTTTTTTTTTTTTTAATAACTAGTTATTATTATTATTTTTTGCATTTTGGATGGATGGAGATAACTAGTTATTATTTTTATTTTTACATTTTGGATGAAAGTAAAATTTATTATATGGGCACTTATATACATTATCATGATCTAATGATATTTAAATTAGTGTTACTAGTTTGACTTTTATTTATACATATAAAAAAAAAATCATTATATTCCATTAGTCTAGTAGACACAGTTAAATATGATATTTTGAATTGTCATTCTATTATCACATTATTGCATATTAAAAGCTAAACAGTGAAGATTAATCCACTATTAAAATTAGTGTTACTAGTTTGACTATCCAAAGCAACACAAACCAATTAACTAATATTAGAAAAACACACCATCATCTGCAAACACCACCTACTCCTTTATACACATAGTACCTCTTAACTTTACCTTTACATAAAGTAGCCTTTAACAAGATAAAGCCTCTTGAACCAAACAAGCTAACAAGACAGTCATAGAAATGTAACTATGTACCTAAATCCAATAATTTAATACCAAGTCATGTACTGAAAATAAGGCACCTCAACCTATGTCCCCCAACCATCCAACTATGTACCTAAATCCGAATGAAATTAACCTATGAAACCAATCAAATCAATATTAGACCATCATATGAATGGATGCCAACACGACAGTCATAGATCAACTGTCAAAATCAGATCTATGAG